TCTTCAACTTTCACACAGAGTAGTTAAATCACAGACGAGTTTTCAACTTGGCCACTAAAGTTTGTGAAGTGAAAAGTTGTCGATCGATCCCTGGCTCAATCTGGAACGAGGATCCACCGTTGAAAGTCAACAAATTAAAAACGGATTGGCGAATAAATGAAGCCATATGCATGACCCTTGATATTCAGGACTCATACCATCCAGGGAAATGTGACTTTTATTATAAGGAATGGTATAAGTTTGCGGTTTATTCACCGCATTAAAACTTACAGAGTATATAGTAAGTGGTTTTATTTTAAATGGTAATTTATATATATATATATATATATATATATATATATATATATATATATATATATACAAATATATATATATATATATATATATATATATATATATATATATATATAATATTGAAATTTTAACGCTTCTAAAATTATTTTACAGCTAATCTGTAAAATTAAAATATAGCATAAATAACTAAATGAAGACTAAAATTGTAACATCTGAAAAAAAGTATCCACAAATAATATCCCGAAAGTTGTATTAAAATCAAACGGAAGGTTCCAAAATTAAATAAGGAATTAAATAATACCATTATATCGCTTCTTTTAGTACAAAGGTCGTTTTATATTATTTTTTATAAATTGATATTTTTTTATAAATTGAGAGTTTCACATGAGAGCATAAAAACTGGTTATTTCTTTATGATGCATTAGTATAATTTTATATTATATTTCCTTCTGTTATTTTTCATATAAGCAGATTACTTATAGCAGTTGCAAACAACAAAATATCATATTTAGCTCTAACATATACAAATGGAATTTTTTTAAGTAGAACCTTTTGCATTAACAGTAACGATATGTAGTAAGAACCATAGACGGTCATATGATCCTTTTAGTTGACAGAATGACTAACTCCAATTTCAACATTTTTTATTATTACTTTAAGTGATATTTAAAGCGGAGTGAAATTTGTAGCTTCATTCACAGTTACATATTTCAACACTGCAATCATCTACTCTGGAATCAACTTACTCACTCTTTTTACAGATATTATAAATTTTGCAACTTGAAATATCACTAAAATGATATTACTCGAAAGTGTTGGAATTGGAGTTAGTCATCCAGCCAACTGAAAATAAGAAATATTATAATTCAATCTCAGAAAGTTTTGCTGTTGGGCATTGCAACAATTAGAAAGGAGTTCTCTAAATATTCAATAAAACTATAAAAACTGACCTCAACTTGTTGTAATTGATCCTTTGCAATCAAAAATAGTTTTTGAAAGAGATTAAAATTGTGATAAAAGAATTGGCTAGTCTCAACAAATATTATACGCCCTTAAATCTTCCACTAGGTTTCCTCTTGGCAACACGAAGTCCTGTAGCAGTGACATTTTACACTGTGAATAAGTATGACTAATTTTCTTTATATTTATTTTTCTCGACTTTTGTTTTCAAATTTCTATACGAGTGTCTTTCTACCATTCTCATTTGGAGTTCAGGAAATGTAAGTGAGAAACCTAAACCGTCGCTTTCCTGCATTAAATTTTCTGAACCACGAAGGTACTAACGTGCAGGAAACTATTTCTCAGTGAGGACGTAGATCCTCCTCGATCTGAATGCGGTGAAGGCTATGACCACATGCTATGAAGTCATGGCTACGGATCGTGGTTTGAAAAATAAATAAACTAGCGAGGTATTACATCCAGGCCTTCACCAAACCTTACTTTAGTTAGGTTATAACCTCACTCGGACGCGTTCTCTGTTCTTCTATATTCATCCTAGATAGGGTTGTCGTGACTCCTTAGGAAGATCTTTTGGGTCTTGGTTGTAACCATCCTCACCTTCTTGTACTACTTTGTCATCAGGATCATTAAAGTAGACAGGGGTGTAGAATTTATTCTACCAGAAAGTAACGAAAAATGAGTGGTTAAAGTTGCTAGGAATATCGTACTCCTGCAACAGCTGGCCACCAAGCATTGACAAAAGATGAAGAAATGTCACGTCACTTGCTACATCGGTTTCTTATAATTTTGGCCATTCAAATTATTACTTATGATTTGCTGTATCAAAAGGACTCAGTAAAATGGCGACCTACCATGGAAGGTTAAGATTTTTATCATCTCCGAAATGAGACGTATGGGTCCAATGATTTAAGAAACTGTCATCATCATACCTATATATTGTACGCCTCAGTCTATCTTCACTTACATTTTTCTTTTTCAGGGGTTCATCCTCTGTTAACCAGGAATTAGAACTATGAATTTTATTACATAAGGTGAAGTGGGGTAAGTGCAACCAGGTTTTTTTTTTTTTTTTTTTTATTAGTAAACTGTTACAGTGAGGTAACTATTGGGAAAATAAAAATACAACTCAGCACATAGTATTTAGGGTTATATGGCTACAATACCCTGCAATTAGAATATTTTTATAATATTCTGTAAATAAAAAAAATTAATTTTTTTTTTAATTTTTAAAGGGTTGCACATACCCCATGCATCCGGCGTAACCTCACTTTAGGATTATCCATAAGAGGCAATATGAATGACAGTGGCAAATCTATTATAGCTTGTTTTCACTGATTCCGCCAATCTTTCTTTTTCATTTTTTTATCTTAAACCGTTTAGGAGATACAAACTTTTTCATGAGTCAACGAAGGGGTGATCGGAAAACTGGGTGTAAAATTTAAAAATCTTTTTAAAAAATCTAGTTTTAGTGTGATTTTTAGCTAACCTTATAAACTTAGCTAAACTGAGAAAGATTTGCTTTGAGGCAAGCGCAACCTCGCCCAGTCTCCATGGCTGCACTTGCTAAAATGACTGGGCAAGTTTAGCAACGGCTCTCCTTTTTAAATTATTAACCCATTACCAGAATAAGGCATATTTTTGAAAACTACACATTAAACTTTATAAAAATATAAGGTTTGGTTATCCTGGGTTGAAAGTAGAAAACGCCAAAGTTTCATGGTTGAACTTTCATTTAGTGCGAACATTTTTAACATTTGATGTAAACATTTTTAAATAACAATATATATAAGCAGAATTTTCTCAGGCTTTTCTGTGTACATTTAAAGACAATGTTCTAAAATTATAAACCAATATTTTTTTATAAAAAATATTCATTTTTCAGGACAAAAACCAGCCATGGTTATACTTGCCTCGTGGTTTCACTTACCCCACTTTACGCTATTTAATACTCAAATACGATTGGTGTTATCATCTCATTTTTCGATGGATTCAACTTGCTTTTGGACAAGCTTCTAAATAAAATCTTGTCTCTATTTCATCGTCATATAATGTCTACTTTGCATATATTCAAATATAATTCAATAACTTAGCTTTTTTTCAGTTCAGGTCGATATTGTTTTATAATAAATTTGTAAAGTTGTTTTTGTTTTTTAGAATGTTTCTACTAATAGGGGTGCCCACAAGGGGATTTCATGACGCATGTTATGCCATCAAAAATTTTTAGAGGATAGATTTTGAATTTTTGAATGGGAAAATTTCGACGGAGATTTAAATTTTCGTACGGAAAAGTTTCAAACCAGGGTTCAAGGGAGAAAACATGGACCAGACAAGTGTAATTGTATATGATCTACGATTTTTTTTTTTACTTTCCTACCTATACTAGGTAAGGAAAGTATTACGATCGGGACAAATTTCCGATATGTGGTTTTCGACGGATGTACAATAATAATAAAAGTAAATGTATATAAACAAAAGAAGTAAACTAATCAAAATAACAACTAAAACACATGCATAATATACAATATTTACAGAATCCATTCACTCAGAAGAACTCCAAGCCAGGCCTTTCTCTCCACTCGTGGAAGAAAAGGCAGGAGTCTAGGAGATCCCAATGCCTCACACTGAGCCGCATTACTGTTATGAAGAACCAGTAGAGGCTGAGGAGAGGCGCTATAATCACACATACTTGAGTGGAGGATATTTACAAATATGGAAAACTTCAATATTTGCTTGTTCACAGAAGGTCTCTGGACAACTATTAACGAAGTTACAGCTAGTCAATTTCCAATGTCAGATTACGGATTCATACCCTGGTGCCAAAAAGGGGTACATGAGAGAATAAAGATGGCTAAGTGAAAGTAAGAAAATCTGTTGCCCGCATCACAAAAGCTTCACTATTTCCTCTGATTTTAACATAAATTATTGTTAGACAGAATTAGGCTATGGCAAAAGGTTTTTGATGAACAATATTAGAGGATATTGAAGTTTTTACACTGATCTACCTTAAGCCGGTTTACATTGATTTAGTTTATCAAATAAATCGTACTCAAATTATTTCTTTGATCAGTTTTCAGGAAAATAGATCTATTTCAATTTTTTTTTTTTTTCGTGATGGACATATGTAAATATATTAAAACTATTCTGAAATAGGTAGGGAGGTCGTGTGAGTGGACACACCAGATTTTTTAATTCTACTTTGGCTTGTACTGTTTCTGAGAAGAGGAGAGTAATAAAATTTCTTGGGAGGTGGAGAGGGTCGGTGCATGCACCATCGATCTTAGGGGGATTGGCACCCCTGAATACTACTATTTCTCAATACAACGGAGCAATCCAGTATTGGGTCTTTGGCTCTTACAACATCTTCCTATAGTTTAAACGGTGAGGTACAGTTATTCTCCAATGCCGAATCCTGGACAAAGTCTTAAGATATTCTGCAACAACTTTCACTCTCAGTAGGTACCATACACCCTTGTCATACGAGGCTATAAAAGTATTGATTTTTTTTTTTTTTTTTTTTAAGATAATAGAAATGGAAAACTTCACAAATTATCTGAGGAGAAAAAAAAGAAGTGAAATTTAAAAGATCTTTAGTACCTCGCGTATATGGGTAGAGCTGTGGTTAAATATTCAGCAATGCTCGTTCAATGTGTTGTGTCACATTGTGCCATAAATCGATGTTTAAATAATGAACTAGAAGCTAATAGGGATAATTTACAGCCTAGCTGATTTAGAGGAGCTTTAAGGAGATGGATATTAGCATCGAAATGGACAGGAAGGCATTGACTGAGGACGGAACAGCTGTGGCGTGGGCCCCAAGGCCTGCTAACGGAGGGGACCTCAGGGGACCGCAACTCTATTCAATCACCGCCCACGTCCTCAGTCCCGATCACCTGTCCTCCCTACCTGCCTGTCTATCCGTCTGGGCTACTGGGCCACCTTATATCCTTAGTAGGTAGGTCTGTATGTAGTTCAGAGTCGAGCATTTAGTTGGGCAGTACGCTAAATACTGGACATGCCGGTGGCGCGGCTGAGAAAGAAGCGCTGGGATCTCTTAGAGTCTCGCTTTGTCCTTCACACGTGGAGGAAAGGGCAGGACTCGGAGCTCCCTTGGCCGATTGTAAATATTGTAATTAAGTATGAATGTTTTTTTCTTTTTTATCTATTTATTTGTTTTACTTATGATTTATTTAATTTGCTAAGAATTTCTTTTTTTTCTTTTTTTTAAACTTTTATTGTAATTGTAAAATTCTACTTCTTTACTGGCTGATAAAAAAATAATGAAAAAGAAATGAGGATTTCGGGTACAAAAAATAAACACCCCTATACTCCTCCTTTTCACAAAAAAGAAGTTATTCGTAATGCTAGGAGGTGAAACCTTATTATAACAAATAAAATAATATGTCAGAAACATACTAATAAAATGAGGTATCATGACAAAGGAATGAGGAGACAGAACGAACTTATAAAATGAATTCTGGACAACAAAGGTATTGCATTAGACCTTTAACCTTGTAACCTTAGTTTTATGTATTTTTTCTTGATTTTCAACCTTGTGGGCATGAAAATTTTTGAGAGAGTACATTATTACGGGATTTTGAATATTTAAGGCTGCCACATTTTGACAAAGTTATGAATTCTCGGACAGAATCATATTTTTGAGGGGTTTCAATTACGAGATAAACTTTCAACCAGAGAACAATTTTTCGACAAAATAATTTTGCCTGCACTGTTTTTTAAAAAAGAGAGCAAAAAATTTCCTTGGATGCGGGTAGTATTCAGTTACACATATTTAAACCATTTCCCATACGAATAATCCGATACATCTTGGCCTAGTTTGTTTGTCTTAATAACAAACACCAAGGCTGAGTCAAATGTGTGAAACGAGTAGCACTGTGTTTTAAAATTGAGGCAAGCAGAACTTGACTATGACTAATTAATTTCACTGGTATTATATAATCTTGTTATATTACAATATTATAAAATCCTGGCGGCCGATATACATATTTATTATACTTTTAACATCATAGATATGATGTATACCGAATTACATTAAATATAAAACGCCCTCGAATTTAAGGCGTACCGGTTTTCCTTTGGTGTCGAGATTTTTTGTTTTTATATCATTCAAGGATTTAATTAACAAACCAGGTACAACATTAATACATACTTGCAATATATTGTTGACGTTTTCGCAACAGTGAGACAGAGGACTTTCCTGATTCTTAAAACAAATATTATTTGCATGCTAAACTCTTCTGACTAATATCGTTCCAATCAATTCACAACCAATCAAGAAGTTGTAGTTACACAAAATTATAGTGGTATATATATATATATATATATATATATATATATATATATATATATATATATATATATATATATATATATTGTAATAATTATAGTATGTTATAAATATGTTTATAAATAAGTATGTTATAAATATGACCTAGATTAAAACTAGGTCGTGGAAATAGACCTACTTTTATTTTAAAAATGGAATATTGATAAACTATATAATTGGAATTTGGGTCTTTAAATTTAAGATGGTATTTATTTTAACATGTACTCCGTTTTAAAAATTCAATTTTTTAAGGGGAGAAAATTCTTCTTGAATGGAATATATTATATTAAATCAATCCTTGAAAAACTATTGCAAGAAATCAGGAGTCATTTAGAACGACACAACATATGCTAAACATAAAAACGTCTTCCCATGACTAGGTTAGTGTTTTTAAACGTTCGTGAAAGTGGAGGATGTTTGTGGTTTAACTTAAAGAAGAACTTATTCAAAAGCCTTCCTTCTTTCTTTGTATAAACAACTGCCTGATGGATCCTTTAACCGCAATTGATGGGCCCACTAAAGCTGACACAAAAAATTATATTTTTAAATAAAATTATAATACAAGTGCTATTAAATATTGAAATGCAGGAATTACTTTGAAAGATAAACACTTTGTAAAAGGATTACGGGAAATTTATGACAATATCCTGAACAGGCATAAGTAAAACCAGGATAACATGGGCTCTATGACACATCAAAGGATTATATACAGTAACACATATTAAGCATTATTGATTTTACATAAATCTTGACTTTGAATAATATTCTTATGCCTCTAGAGATATATATTTTAAACATATTATATTTACGAAAACGCTATATAAGTGCTCATGTAGATCATATGAAGGAATTTTTCTGAATCAATGCTGCAGAGAAAGTAATCAGATATGTTAAAAGTCATTCTGATAATGCTAAGGTTGCTGAGATACATTTCAACAACCTCGACATTTTTATTTAGGATTGCAGAACTAAAAGCAGTAAGGTAACTTTATATATATTTTTTAACATAATTATTTAAATTATGATAATATACATAAATATACAGTGGCTCATAATCAAAATGATACACCTGGATATTGATAGAAATTATTGAATAAATAAATAGTTTATATTACATTAAAAACAATAATTGTAATCAATAAACATCCTAGTAAAGTGTTATTTTCTTATATCATTTTTCTTGTTTTTACGTTATGTTATATTTTATGTTCTTTCCTTATGTCATATTTCTACATGTGGGGAAGTATGGCGGCTTCTGGTCTAAGAAATCTTAACGTTATAGTGGAAATATTTCAAATGGTATAGTGAATAAACATGTTTTCACAGAAATTTGAAAGAAATTGTGAAAAATTTGGACTAAAAAACAAATTTTGTTTTTATCAGGATAATGACCCTAAACAACTTCACCATCTTAGTTGAGGAATGGCTACTTTAAAATTGTCCCCAAAAGTCATAAAAACACCACCACAATCTCTAGATCTTAATATGATAGAACATCTGTGGGCAAAATTTGAGGTAGAAAATAAAATACACCAAATTCCTAGCAAAGAAGACTTTAAAAAATATCTCCGCGAAGAATAGAACAGGCTTTGCCCGGAATCAACAAAATATTGACCGACTCCATTACAAACAGACTGAAAGAAGAGGTAGAAAATAATGGCTTGCCTACAGGGGGTTGAACTAAATTAATAGTATTTAAAAGTTAATAAGAAATGAGGTGTATCATTTCGACTGTTGTATAAAAGTATCCAGCTCCTGTCGATATTCTACACAAAAAAAGAATCAAACAAATCAAAATCTTACAATAACCTTTTCCCCTCATTTACGAAGTTAGCAACACTTTACAGGGCCATAGGCTGCGTCAAAATCGAGAGTGCTAGCGGCCATATTTAACACACTTTCGTACATAATTTTCTCGACATTACAAATTTAAGATGTTTACAATATTAGCACTGGTAGCACGAATACCCCTAGAATCTCCCCGCTAGAAATGCAAAAATGTACATAAGAAAAAAAATATATATACATAATATATCAGACGTCTCCGAAGCACACACACAATCATGTTCGTAAATAGATATAACACATCGTTATTCTTTTTCTAATGACCTTCAACAATGCTAAATTTACTATTTTCGGGGGAAAATACGACCATAAACAAGCAATAGTTTATATATACAAGTCTTTCTAGCGCATTTAATTGAGGGAGTTTCTATACACTACCTGATACATTGTGAATCCTTCCTTCATCATTTGATGCCTAAGGAATCACAAATAAGTGGCCAGACAATATATTATTAATTTATTTATCAGTAGACAACAAGTAAATCTTATCTCAATCGAACTACCCTCATGAAGACCTGAAATTACTTAAGATAACCAAATTGGAACCGAAGGCGTGTGAGGAGAAAATATGTAAATGTAACAATGGTTTGAAAGTTGTTACCACAATATGGAACATGCACAATCTGCCCGCCTCATCTCCAGCCTAAGTGGTCCTCGCCAGTAATCCCTTTCCAAACTAGAGTATCCCTCCTGTTTATATAACAAGATAACGGCCATTATATATAATCAAAGCAGTTCCAACCAGAGATCTTACAAGATAAGTTTTATATCTTCCATACCAGAAAGCATTTCTGGAGCCAAATGTAATACAGGTTGTATGACTCGATTACCAAATGAGAACAACTAGAAAAAATATACTATTATTATTTTTATGTTTTATCTATAAACATACCGACTTTATTGAAACATTAAACATAAATATAAAATGGCCCAGGGGTGCCAAAAAGAGGACATCATGGCGCTAGTTGCGCCATCAAAATGTTTGAGCCGGGCACAATTTGAGGAGATTTTGAGGGGTAAAAATAGAATTAGTAGTAGGGGGAACACATTTCAACAGGGTTATGAATTTTCATAAGGAAAAGTTTTTAATAAAAATACTACGGGAACCATGGAATGCATGAAGTTTAATAGTATTTAATATACGATTTTTCTAATTGTACTTTTTTTTTCCTACCCCCCCAGGAATTTCTTGAATAAATACAGTATGTATATAAATGTATATATACATAAATTTTCAACTTTCCTTTTATTGCCCAAAGGCATTTTAAGGTAAGGTTCTGCACGCTGTATGCGTTCTTCTAATTCTACTTTTGCTTGAACTGTTTTTAAGAAGAGGTGGACAATAAAATATTTTGGGAGGAAAAACGTGTGCCATTGTACGAGGGATGAACACCAGTAGTGTGGTCCAAATGCGAGATCGAGAAGAGTCTTGGTCTTGCAAACTCAGTCTTGGTAATGGTCTTAGTCTTGCGCAAGAGTGTCGCAGTAACTTATTAGCTTATTATTATTGAGATATTACTGTAGTTTTTTAGATAGGAGAAACCTAACTAAGCCCGAATGAAAAATTACAAGAGTTAAAAGCAAAGTATATTGGTTATACAAATTATTAACATATAGTAACTAAAATTGACAAGTATTAGTAATTATTTTCCCTTAATTTTTATTTTTAAAATCGGTTTTTTTTACCAGTCCAGGTCTTGGTCTTGCAACAGTTAGGCGACGTTGGTCGTTAGACCAAGACCGATTTTTGGCAACACTAAACACCAGTGCACCGTCCTACCTTGAGTAGAAATCAATTAGTAAATTTAAAAAATATTACTTGCCACTATAAATATTTCCTTTTGTTTTTATGAAATAATATAAAAATTGCAATTGAATAGTATTTAGAAAAACGGAACCAATCATCACAATATGCAAAATTGAGTTGGAGGTGCTTTCAAATGATTACTATTTTTACCGTAAAAGATTCATTTCTTGGATAAAATATCTTCCATGGAGAATCGAATGTTAAAAAAACAATACTAGAAATGAAATGTGTGAATAAGGATTAATAAAAGAAACAAACAAAAATAAAGTATTTTTATGATTGACATTTTAATATAACACCAATATTTTGTTGGTAGATAAGGTATGGAATAAAATTAAATTTGGAACTAAAAATATTGGAAATAAATTGGAACTTTTGTTAAAAAAGGAATGAACTATAAAAATTATCGATATTTTTGGAGTGATGTAGTGAAGAAGTATTTAATAAGCAATATATCAGGGTTAAAGATCTTATAGGGGTAAGACGAGATATGTCAATGGTTTTTTTTTTCAATATAAAAAAAAATCAGAAGAAGAAGTACCAGAAAAACAAAACAAAAAAACTTAACAAAGAAGTGGAACAAGACCAGATGGGGAATAAGTATTAACATATTTCCCACGATAGCTGGAGGAAATGAGGAGGTTTGGACGAAGCAGGTAGAAAACTAGAAAAGAGATGCTATTATTGAACTGAGAACACGACCCTTAGGTCTTCCCCACACAAGCACAAACCTATCCAAACACTTGTGTAGCTACCAATATTAGTACTGTTCAAATTATTACTTGTAAAAAACAAATGTACGAAAATATATAGAACATTTCAGCCCAATTTAAAAGGATACTTCATATATAACTCGGAGAATAAGTCTGACCTTAACTGTTTAATTCATAGAAGATGAAGGCTTATTATGAATGGGCAGCTTTCGCAATCCATTTTGATACATAAATCAGTTCTTTTTAATTTACTTATGTCCATTCAAATTTATTGAGGTATCTTCAAAAACATGGAAATGAGCATCTTTACTCCTATACTTTTTTTTATTTACAACCGTATAAAGACACGAAGTTAACACCACTTTACCGAACTCTAGGCTGCGTTAAATTCGAGGGTGCTAGCGGCCATATTCAACACACATTTCGTAAATAATATTCTGTACCTTACGCGTTTAGGTTTCGATACTAAGCACCGGTTGCATGAATATCCCTATTGTAATATACTGTATTGTATGTAAAGCCATCTTCTTTTCAGATGCCTATCAGGAGTATCAGGAATAATGGAAGAACAGGGGAAGAGACTAATGGGTTGTATGGACCTTGTGTTTATTATGAAAGGTAGGTGGATTGGGACAAATCTTAACTCTGGTACTGCTTCCCCGCCTTAACCCCAGGCCCCGAAAACCTTCGTATAGCCTAAAAGACGAGGAAGGGAAGAACAAAAAAAAAAAACATTGGTTCAAATCGGCAATATATGAAATGTTCCAATCATTATGGATGATTTCGGTTTGATTTTACAGAATCAAATGATTTATAAAATAACTATTTTATTGTAAATAATAAAAAGCTGTTAATTCCTGTATTAGCGAAACGTCAAGAAGTTATTTATTTATTGGTATTATAACAGACTTGAGATTTTGTTTTTTCTTATCTTCCAATTATATCAGATAAATTAAATGCAGACCAACTTCCATTTTACAAATCACAAATTTACAAATTATAAATTGTTCATGTTATCATCAATTGAGTTACTCGTTGCTCCCATCGTATAACTTTAATTTACATTTGTTCTACAGTTCAAATTGTATTATTTTTTATCAATAATAAATAAACTGAACGAAATCACATTTCGAACAAATGTTTAATTCTTTAAAAATCTAAATGGTGCATCACACGTTAATGTATATTATTGCCAATTTGTAACCATAATATACATTCAACTTGTTCAGCTTTATTTAAGCCCAATAACAATTTAAGCCTTTTGTTTCTAATATTTTTCGTTATATTGTGCTTTCGTTTCTATTTCATAATACTTATAATATTACAAGGGGAAATCGAAAAATAACTACTGTCACTTAGGTAAAATCAAACTACAACCTCCAGATGATTAAATACAAATTTTTATTATGTATTAGGAGAGTATTAGTTAACAGGAGCTCAACTCATAAATAGTTAAATGAACAGCTGTGTAATTAGTGCTAATTATAAAGCTAATAGGAGAGCTCCTGTAACCTCCCGCACTCCTAATATTAAAATAAATTAAATATGACATACACTAAAAACCTTTTTTATATAATAGAGAGATTATTTATTTAAATAAAGAAGGTATTTCGATGGTTGAAATCTTTGAATATTTTTATATCCATTGGTTCATATAAAAACATTCAAATATTTTCCTAACAGATAGAATTTTTTCCCCTTCTTTTTGACCAGGTAACTGCTATGATTATTTTGCATCGATTAAAGTTAATTTTTTTCATGGTTCGTCAAATAATCTCAGAATACGATTGTGAGCACTAGGATAAACGAATGTAATGGTAAAATATAATTAATAAGTACAGTTTCCTTACCTCCAATCAGATGAACAATAAATATCCCATACAGAATTAAGTTGGAATAATATATCTAGTTTTTAATTCTTCTTCGACGAGATGAGAGATGAGAAGTAAATGGAATGAAAGTAAACAAGTAAAAAGGACTCTGTGACCGCAGACAGGGCTGCCAAGTAAAAAAACGGAAGAGGTTGGTTGGGAAGAGCAGCTGACGCAACGCAGGAGGCAGCCCAAGCAGAACGTGGCCGGCCACTCAGTGTCAGTACCCCGAGGATCAGCTACCGACTTTGTACAGAGCGATCCACCGATCTGGACCAAATATCGCAGAGGACTGCGAAGGGATCTAATGATCCTGCACTTGACGAGTGGGAGCTCTGCTATTTTATCTGCTAAGCCATCACGTGGCCGAACCAGTGACTGACTGCCTTATATTGTAAGAGTATAATTAGTCCTCTAAATCCTACCTCTATACAAAAATAATCACTTTTGCCGATAAGATACAATTACAAAATATATTTGCATCTTCTAAACAAAATAATTTGCAACCATTATTTATAAAATCTATTTCTGGTATATGGATCATTCTTGTAATATCCTACTATTTGGCTTTTCTGGGTCTTGCATTTTAGGTTGAAAAATTAAACTTATCAATTATAATTTGACTTATAATATTAGTATAAATATTCTAGATAATAAAGTCATCAACTGTTGGTTTTTAGTTTTCAATAATAAGCAATATAATCGCCGAAGAGAAAAAAAAAAAAATTAGGTGTGTGCTTTAGACCATAGAAGTGATAACATCAAGAAGGCGAGATTAATAATATGGAATATAACTTATAAATCATAGCTCATTATAATGATGATGAAATGCTGAACATTTTATACATTATGCAGGTCCGATTTTCAGTTTCTGAGATATTTTAATCCATTACTTACATAGAAATCGTTATCATTTGCTTTTCCACACTATTTTTCCCTTTCCCGCCGCGTTAAGATACAATATTGAATAATAGCGCATTACAAAGAAGATAAAATACAGAACATTTCTCTCGCTTACAGTATACAGGCCCGATTTTTGGACTGTGATATTTTAATCCATATCTTCAATAAAACTCGTTATCATTTGGTTTTCAATACTATTTTTTCCTTTTTCGCCTCTCTATCACCGTAATAAACAAATTTGAATAATAGCTCATTACAAAGAGGATGAAATGATAAACATTTCCCTCGCTAAAAATATGAAGGTCCGATTTTTAATTTTTAAATCTCCATTTTCGGCAATGAAAACTTCGAGGTATACAAACAATTGGTCTATTTGTTGATCTAAATATTAAGTTGACGTTTCGGAAAAATTATTCTCATCTTCAAAAATTCCATACTGTCATAGCGATTTATGGCTAGAATCTGATCTGCTCCTTTGTCATGATTTGAAATTTATGTTATAAATAAAATAAAGTTATATTATCTGGAGCATTAACATTCCTAGGACCCATAATTGGGTAGTCTACACTCGTAGAGAATTAGTCATTCAAAAGTCATTGCCGAAAATAGAGAATATTAAACAGCTTCCCAGCAAAAAAGAAGTAGTTTTTAAATATTTTAATCCATTTACAAAACCACTTCAATTAGCCGAATTTACCCGAGCGTTACACATCGAAAATCTGAAGGCTTAATCTAATTCACTCTCCACAAAAAAGTGCAAAACGCGTTTGAAGACAGTACTCCTATAAGTCTCTAAACTACTTATTTCCCCGTTCTCACACATTTAATGTAACCATTTTAACTACAATAAAGGTAACACACGTGATGAATAATTTTTTAGCTACATCATGATTTGGACCAAAATTCTGACACTTTCATTCCACCTACGTCCTGTCATATTTGAATTTATAGCTGATAATTTAAGTAGACCTGATCAGTTTTCAATAAACGATGTTGTTATTAGTCGGTAACATTTTTTGTTCACTATACCATTGGAACTAATCTATCTTTTAGTTTTCTCCTCAAAATATTAGTGATAAGTAAAAAAAAAGTATTAATTTTCAAATATTAAAAAAAATGTTACATCATTTTATCTATTTCTATCATTATTGTTTTAAAAATTCAGATGAAAAATTATACACCGGAATATCAATACGAGATGAGATATACACGAAGATAAATGAAAAATACTCTTATTACTGTGGCATTATCATGATAATTTTTCAAGCATTATCATGAGCAGTTTGACAAAAACTATGCCTCATGAATGATGGGGTCAAGAGGCGTACGAAATGCCCCTCGGTAACTTCTTGAGCGAAAGATCAGACACTCCACAGCTCTCGACAACGGCTTTGTAAAGTGCAGAGATTAAGGTGTTAAAATTTCTCTTTGAAATACACTTTCTGCGGTTTCAGTCTGCAAAGAGGTGAAAGGTCCATATTTAACCTAGATTTTAGGAGTCAGCATAAAGCAAAAGAAAATTAAAATTTTCACTTAAGTTTCATTGTGGTGCCGCTCACTTAAGATATGAATAATTCATCATTTGACGGATATTCATTTGCCAGGTAAGGCAGCTATGAGGTTAGGTTCAATTACCGTTGGAATTGTAATAAACGTTTTTCTTTTTTAAATTATTTAGCGTTACGGAATTGTGCCACAGAGCCAAGATCATAAAGCTGACGTACCGTGAATTGATACCAATTTCCTGCTTCTTCGTTTTAATTGGTACTATAAACTTCCTACAATATAATTGATTATGATCAGATTTACAATGCAATGAAAAGGCTCACCTTTTTATGTTTTCTAGATTTATTTTTTTGATTATATAAGGAGAGATGCAGGAAAGATTATTATATAATTTTGTACTTTGTAGATTTTACTTAATTTACTTTTTTAGACTCTTCCTGGGTCCAATTAAATTAAATTTTTGAAAGATATAATCCGTTATTGCAATGGTACCCAGAAGAGGATTTCATGGCTCAAGTTCCGCCATCAAAATTATTAGGGGATCACATTTTGACGGGCTTTTGAATTTTTGAGGAGGACACATTTCAACGGGGTTTTGGATTTTTGAGGGGGACACATTTCGACGTGGTTTTGAATTTTTGAGGGGGGCACATTTCAACGGGGTTTTGAATTTTTGAGGAGGACACATTTCGACGTGGTTTTGAATTTTTGAGGGGGACACATTTTTTTTTTTTTTTTTTCGTGGCATAAGTGCCCTGCAGCTATGTAGGCGTATTTACACATAGGGGGACACGTTTCGACGACGTCATGCATTTTCTGAATGAAAATTTGAAACCAGGTGATAAGAGGAAAACAGAACAGACCGCTGCAACTGTAATTACATATGATCTTCGATTTTTAAATTCTACTTTCGCTTCCACTGTGTTTAAAAAGAGGATAGCATTAAAGTATCTTTATAAGAGGATAGTATTTTTTTATAAATTAAGACATCAATCTACAATGATTGATAAAATTTATACTAAGAACGAAATCCAAAAATAAATGAAACGAGCATTGTAAAGGTATGTGGAAATAAGGTAATAAGGTAGAGTCCTTAGTGACAATTAAAAATTTGAAGTATAAATGTGTATATATTCTTTTTAAACATTTTTTTAAAAGAAATATTTGGTGCAGAGCACCGAAAGCTCCAAAACATAAATATATGAAAGTGTAAAAAGAAGAGTGTTTTTTCTTACTTCGAAAGAAATTATTTTTACGCTAGATGTTTATTCCTCTTGGAATTCGGGGCATTAACATCTAGCCTTAAATCGATAATTCTTAATACCTGCGTAATTCATCAGAAAACTAGAAGTTGAACAAAATCAGCCTCCAAACCTATGAGTGTATACACTTTAAAAGGACTCGACTTATTTTGATTAAACTTGTTAGAAATGTTCCATTTAAGTCTTCAAAACTATTCCTTAAATATAATTCTTAGATCCTCATTCGTGTATCCAGTCTCTCTCCCGTTATTTAAAACTATAGAACCGTTTTCAAAGAAGCTATTGGTTCAGAATAATAAATAACGCGAACATTGAAGGGAGGATATTGTGAAGCTGATATATTGCTCACTTCTATCATCAATCTCTCTCAAAAAACTGAATTTTTCAGAAGAGTGATAGTTGAATAGAACTAACTAAAAATAAATATCAAATCATCGATTGAACTCTTCATATTTTACTTCATAACATTACTTATTTTATATATGCTGTACATATTTTAAGACATCTAATTTTTTTTCTAATAAGAAATATGGAAAGTTACAAATTAAAATATAAGAAATATTTCAAATGTAAAATGGGCATTGATCTAAAAATATTTAGTTTCGCTAGGACATATTTGCACGACTCTAAAATCATTCCGGAAACGAGCATAAGTAAAAATTACCGATATTTCAAATATGTCTTCATTGAATGACATGCTAGCATTTACAAACCGATTTTCTGACGATGATAAAAAATAATAAATGTTTATAGAATGTTGTTTAATTTTTTAAACCATAATAATCTAATCCATAATTTACATGCCCTATGCTTTGTTGCCTGTTCATAAAATCTACTAAAAAAAGCCATTTTTTTTAAGTATCGTCTTTTCAAAGAAAATAAATTATTACATTCCAAAATATGACTATTTAATTATCAACTGGAATTCGATGAAATTTAAAATTAACAATTTATACACTATTCTCCAAATCTCCAACTTCGGGCTAAATCTAAAAAGCCATTTTTGAAATTTAGGCATATCAAGGAAAATACGTTTTTACAATCGTTAGTGAGATCATTTTTTTTTAAGTAGTGGATGAAATTTGAATTATAACTATTAGATATTTTTTTAAAATAACTTTTCTCCAACCGTCAAATGAAAAATAACGTTTTAAAGATGAAGGTGTTTCAAGAAATATTTAAATTTGCTCATATTTGAGAAGAAATTAGTGGATGGAATTACATAAATTTGGCAAATCGTCGTTTTTTTTGTTTTTTTTTTATACTAAACTTCTAATTTTGTTTTTCTTCAATTTTGGGCAAATAATGAAATGAATGAAACATTAAAATGAATGAGTTAGATAAGAGAGGAAGCAGAGACCAACGTTTTTGTCGCCTCTATCCTGTACTGGAGGGTCATTGACGTCAACAAGCCTTGTTTCATTCTATAACGAGGGATGTAATTATCTTCTCTAGTAACTGTATTGCTGCCGTACTATTTTATTATACAGAATAGCTATAACTGTTTCTCCGGGATTCTTTAGTTTCGGACGTGCGCAAAATAGCTATCCATTCGCCAAATCGTGGCAAACGCTTTTGGTTTTTACAACTTGGAATACATGAAGGATCAAACATAACTGCGATGCACTAAACTTGGCTGGGAAATAATGGAAGCGTGAGTACCTCTTTGGACTAGTTGATTGGACCCCACTCAGCTGGCCGATCGTGAGCT